AGACCATCACTGTGTCCAGAAAGACTTTAAATGTCCTCCATTGTCCCGACGTGAAGGAATATTGTGATGCGGGAAATCTCTGGTGTTGACACTGATTATAAGATATTTGTTCTAACCCACCGGCTCAAAGCAAGATTCACCCTGATTTCTGCATCCTGTTCAGAAAAATAATGCCAGATCAGATTCTTATTCAAACAGGATGAGTTCATTCTCCTGTTACATTTTTAAAATTGATATGTATCATAAATTGCATTTTCAGGGCTGAGTTCATTAATATTATCTAGAGAGGAAGCAAAACCGTGAGCCAAAAAGGAGACCTAAAACTGTCTTAATGAAAGATTCATTCATGTGTGGAGGAGGAGGCGGGATGCCAGACTAGATAAGTATCCCTGGCTGGGATGTTTAAATTCTTCTCAGCTTTCAGGCCCAGTTTTAGAATATTAAATCAAGACGCAAGAGTAGTCCATTAAGCTCATCATCCAGGCGCTATTAAAACTTACTGCTATACTTGTACAACATGTGTGTGTATGTGTGTGTGTTGTACGTGTATGTGTGTGTGTTGTACCTAAAGAGTCTGTTAGCGGAGGGGCCCCTGTAGGCGATGTTATTGAAAAAGACCTCCAGCTCATTGTCGTTGTCAAAGTCTGCAACGATGACGGTGCGAACTGGAGACGGCATGGCAAACTTCTGAGACGCTATGTCCTAAGGGAATAAAAGCAAACACAGACACACACACACAAACAGTTTAAATCCAATTCACCTGCTCTCAAAACGAATTGATTCACAAAATGTGTTTGTATTGCCCTGCTCATCACATATTTGTTGTAGTAACATCACATCTAAAGTAGTTTTCTCCACAGACTGTATTTATACAGATGGAAGACATCCACCAAAATTGAAGCCAAAGCCACAGCAATCGCCACCTGGTGGCTTGCTGCAGTACATATATCCCACCTCCTACATCTCAGTGGACAGAGACATGGACCAAATTAAAACATACAATAAATTATTCTCAAAGATGGTTTCAGTCTTTTAGATATTCAGTTCTCTGGTTAGTTTGGTTTTAATTAATTATTTGATGCTGTAAAATGGGTCGGTGAGACCTCGATAACGCAGCTCAAGCCCGTGATCGCTACTGTTGAGACTCTGGCTCCAAATGCAGGAGACGGGAGCGTTTGTATGCAGGATATTTTAGCATAGTGGGAGGAGGTGGAGACACTTTCATCTTTATTTACAGTCACATATAATTTTTATTTTGCTTTTTCAGTGAACGTCGGTCTTCTGCCTTTTCCTTTTTTTCCATAAGAGCTAGAGTTTGCATCACTGCTACATCCAACATTTCCATAAACATACAGTAAATGTCATTTTTCTTCCTCTATAATTATACAATTATAAAATGTGTTTGTCTCCTTTGTGAAATTTGAGGTTGATATACAAAGTTTTGTTTGTTTTTGTCTGCTCTGTCGGCCTAAACCGCAGAACAGTGGGAGGTTTAGTTTCTTGAGGCACTATATTCATTTAAAGAAAAGGTGCAGTAAGTGAACCCTGAGAAGTGCACGATAAAAACACTGTGGCGAAGACATAAAGAAATTTTTTCCAGATGACATCACACCAGGTTAATCCCTAAGACACGATTGGCAAATATTGTCGATGCAAAAAAAGAAAAATTTAAGGTAGTTGAAGGATTTTCACCAGAATTTTATATTCCCTGTTATTCTACATCATACATCTGTTAAATTCAACATGTGAACTGGACGTGTGAGCTGAGTGACTGGGTAGAGAAATGGTTCCATAACCCGGAACATAAGGTCACGAGTTCCATCTTCACAGCCGACGTGTCCATCAATAATCAGTATCCGGTCCTTGAGTTAGACACTGATCTGTCATCAGTTTACTCACTGACTGTAGGTCACCCTAGAAAACAGATTCATCTGAAGCCTCCAGGTGAGAACAAAGACCCTTTTTACGTCCTCTGGCATCAGAGAAGAAGACTGCAATTCTCCTGCCCCCCCCAAAAAAGTCTTCTCAGCAGAGGAGGGTTTTTTTGCATGAGAAAGTAACGGATATCGCCTCGCTTCAGTGACACGGTGATAAGTCGGGGAAGAGTTATAGAGCGGCCTTTCACTCCCTCCAGTATTTACTCCCTGTTTTAATTATAAGGCTCATAAAGCTGCAGGAGGGGGGGATGGTGGTGCCTACAGTGACCTTCTGCTTCTCAGGTGAAGGAGAGGGGATGGCCAACTGAGGCCACGAGGGAGGAAGAGGGGAACAATAGAATGCATACATGTGCCATAAGAGGAAAAAGACCAAAACACAAATGGAGGAAAGAAACCTGCTGGAATAGAGGGGAGAAAGTTTGAGAAAAAAATAAAGTATAATCACTTTATGATTTGTCGCGCATAAAGTTTCTCAAAATGGATGGTAAGTATTTACAACTTTAGTGGATTTATTGTGACTAGGAAATGCATTTTTAAT